GTGTAGCATGTGACTCTTGATCTCAGGTTTGTAAGTTCAAGCCTCACATTGGGTGTACTTAAAAACAAAATCTTTTTACTGTTTTTTTTTTTTTTTTAAGATTTTATTTATTTGTGAGAGAGAGAGAGAGAGAGAACAAGCAGGGGGAGCGGCAGAGAGAGAGGGAGAAGCAGGCTCCCCGCCGAGCAGGGAGCCTGATGCAGGGCTTGATCCCAGGACCCCAGGATCATGACCTGAGCCAAAGGCAGACGCTTAACGACTGAGCCACCCAGGTGCCCCAAATAAATAAAATCTTAAAAAAAAAATAAAATCACTTGAAAAAAAACTACACTATTTTTAAAAATTTAAAATTACAATCTAAGAGCTTAAGTCTTAATAGGTATATATTGGTAAATATAATCTCAAGTACTTCAAAACGTGTTATAAAAACTTTTTTTATATAAGACAATTTTAGTCAACCATCATAATAGATGTGCAAAATAATTCCCAATCATGATTTACCTTGTCCTAAGAGCAAGCCAAGCAGCTTCGATATCTGCATAGAGGTTCTTCTCTGTTGGTTTCCCGGAACTTGCGCCATATCCAGAATAATCATATGAGAATATATTACAATTAATCCGTGATCCCAGTCCTATGTAAAAGCTGCTCATCTGACCAAGATCAACAGCATTTCCATGTGAGAACAGTAAAGTATATTTGGCATTGGGTGAACAACGCACAAACATGCAGGCAATTCTGTTGCCTTTACTGGTTCTAGTCATGAAACACTCAATAGCATCTTTTTCTCTAGAAGAATATTGCCAGTCTGCTCGTTCTGACAGATGTAAAGTCCAGCGGCTTCCACTTTCATCACACATCAATGTGTAAGTAGGATCAGGTGGCAAAAATGCTAATTTTGAAGCAATTTTCCCAGGGCAAGGTGGACAGCAGAAGAGGCAACATAGCTCACTAAATGAAAGATTATTCATCTTCTGAAAAAGAAAAGGAGATAGCAAATGTTTTAATTATTGAATATGGATTCTGTATTTTCATACCATAGAAGGTTAAAAACAAAGGTACTGGTAAATTCTACTGCTGCTCAGTGTCAACTGCTATTATTTCAAGTATCCTTTGCCTAAACAGATTTTTGACATCATTCTAGATATAATTTAAATCCTCTGGGGAGGCAAATATTCTTGACCAGGAGATACTAAACTATTATAGGATGTTTCAAATAGTAGTGATTATGTAATATTTAACCAAAATATGAAAACTAACATGAAGAGTAGAGGTAATATCTGTTATTGCTCCATAGATAATAGCATAGGAGGTATGAAGTATCTTTAGAATAGTGTGAAATTTCTGGATTAAGTCAGTGAAAATTCTCAGAATCTCATGGAAAGGTAGGTATTTAACACGATACAGTAAATATGTAACGATACCATATACATTGTTCATTTTCATGAAGGAATTGCTTGCTATTTGTCAGGCATTGTGCTAGGTATTCTATGTGTATTACCACATTTAATCCTCAAAACAACCCTGGTTGATCTGAGACCAGAAACTTGGCACAGTGTGGGGCAGCAGTGGAGCCAGGATTTGACAACAGGCTCAACCACTGTCCTATATCCCTGGGCTACACTGCCTCAGAGGCTCAGAAAACTATTTGTCTCAGAAGCCTGTCATTTTAGCCATAGTGCCAGTGGCTCAAATAACCTATAAAACATTAAAATATATGTCTATATATAATTATTGCCCAAATTAAAAAGGCTACAATATGAAAGCTACAAAAAAAGTATAAAATCTGCTAAAATTTCCTATATGGTTACAAGGGAAGGAGTGTGTATAAGGTTTGAAGTCAGAGATAGCTGGGGTGGAATCCCAACTCTACCACTTACTAGCTGTTTGCCCTTGGGCAAACTGTTTACCTTTTCGAGCCTCATTGTCTTCCTAAGCAGATGAAGTCAACGTCTGGTTGTGAAGAACACACACAATGATGTAGTTAGGGCATATACTACAGCAATGACCATACAGATGGCACACTTAAGGATGGTCCACTCTCTCCTGTCTTTTTCATTAATATTTTTCAAGTACTTAGTTGATATTAAGTCAGGAACAAAAAGAGAGTAATACTTGTTTGCCCTACTAGCATTTCTTTTTATCTTGTCCTTTCTCAAATTCCTATCTCTTTTTAGCAGTAGGAGACGATTGCTTAGTTCCAGGAAGAAGGCATTCAAAACAAACACCTGCTAGAGATTTGGTGGCACTTAATTTTCTACAAAAAAAATCTAAACAGGAGGATGGAAAAAAATATACATCATACCATTATACCAAATGTAATTATATATGAGAAGAAATCACCTCAGGAGACTAAAGAAGTGAGATTATGTGGAAAGAAAGAAATGTCCTTTTCACTCACTACAGAATCAAAATCTTGTTCATATGCTCAACACAAATGTATTGATTTCCCAAAATCTAGTCCATATGCTCAACAGACATGTTCTAATTTCCCAGTGCAAACTAATTAGGTAGAAAGAAGGAAAAACACCACTGCTAGAGAAAAAGACAGGAGTGATATAAAAGGTTTTAAAAGAGTAAGAGAAGGGAAGAAAGTGTCTCTTGGATATTAGGAAACACCTTTGCTTGCTATTCAACCTTCAAAAAAATTAGCATGAATAAGTTAATGTCATAGTCTCGTTGGAAAAAGAGTCTGATAAAACAGAAATGACAATGAGGTCTCATCTTTAGTGGTAACTCTCACTGGCTCTGTGAAATACTGTACTGAGAAGGATTCTAAGGGCATACGCAAGGCTTGGCAGGGAAAGAACATGTCATAAATCAGTGATGTGTACTACAGGATTTGACTACAGATTTATTATTCTGGTCATGAGGATACAGGACCTGGTGAAGAGGATGGCAGGAAAGAAAGTTCAAAGGGTTAGTTTAAGGGAAGGAGATGACCTAGAAAAAAAGATGAGTTATAAGGCACAATATTATCAATGCTATCTGTTTAATAATCTGTCTACAGCTGTTTCTTGCTTCCAATTACCTTACAACCAGTAACTGCTGACCCTCAAGAGTCTGTTAAAAGCTTGGTTGATAATAAGTAAGCTGTACGTAGCTTTATGTTCCTATAATGTACCTCTTGAACATGAAGACTTTTATATATAATAAAGTAACTTAAAAATAAATCTGGCTTACTGAATATACGTAATACTGCACGGTTGCTTCTGGGGATGAACACCAAAGGAGTGAAGCAGAAGGAGAAAAGGTACAGTGCCAGGATCTAGTCTAATGAAAGGGCAACCTGACCTTTTTTTTTTTTTTTTTTAAGATTTTATTTGAGAGAGGGCTCCTGGGTGGCTCAGTTGGTTGGGCGACTGCCTTCGGCTCAGGTCATGATCCCTTAACGACTGAGCCACCCAGGTGCCCCAAATAAATAAAATCTTAAAAAAAAAAAAAAAGATTTTATTTGAGAGAGAGAGTGCACGTGTACGCATGAGACAAGGGGCAGACGCTTAACGACTGAGCCACCCAATGCGCCCAACACCCTGACCTTCTTAATGTCAGTGGAAGAAATTATTCCCACCTCCACAGCCCTAAACCAGATAACTGGTGTCCACTTAATAATAAAAACTTGCAAATTATCACTTTTCTAATAAGAGGCATGGCATAGGACAGCAACCTAGACTTGCTTAAAAAAAAGTATACATAAATAAACCTAAGTTTTAGTAACATCAGAGCTAAACAAGTTATTGAGGAAAAAAATTTATTCTTGAAATTTAAAAAAACATTGAAGTATCTTGTTAAATTTGGGTAATTTTAAGTCCCATTTGTTTTATATAAAATTCATCTGAATAAAAATATATCATTTATCAGTTATTTCTTGGCTAACAAAATCTTGAAGAGACAAGGCAGTGAATAATTCTAGGGGGAAAATGATAAACATCTGAAAGTACACAACAGCAAAAGACAGATAAATTATTTAATTTAGAGCAGAATTTTTGGACCAGACAAAACAAGGATTTAAAATAGAGGCGCCAGGCTGGCTTAGTCAGTGTAGCATGTGACTCTTGATCTCAGGTTTGTAAGTTCAAGCCTCACATTGGGTGTACTTAAAAACAAAATCTTTTTACTGTTTTTTTTTTTTTTAAGATTTTATTTATTTGTGAGAGAGAGAGAGAGAGAGAGAACAAGCAGGGGGAGCGGCAGAGAGAGAGGGAGAAGCAGGCTCCCTGCAGAGCAGGGAGCTGGATGTGGGACTTGATCCCAGGACCCTGGGATCATGACCTGAGCCAGAGGCAGATGCTTAACCGACTGAGCCACGCAGGTACCCCTTAAAAACAAAATCTTAAAAAAAAAAAGTGAATTATAATAAACCAGTTTTAAAAAAAGAGAATACTTAAAGATGTAATGGAAAAGTGTCATACACAAAAATCCAACTGGAATCCCTGATACAGAGAAATCAGTATCTAAAACAAAGAATCTGATGGATTGGGTACAAGAATCAATAACTGAAGAATGTATTAGCGAGCTGAAAGATCCAAGAATTCCCAAACAGGGAATTTTTCAGGATGAAAGGGATGAAGATAGAGAAAACATAAAAGAAATAAGGTAGAAGTAGAAATACCAGTATCAATAATCTAAGAATTTCTCAGAATTAAAGAAAAAATTCTGCCTGAAATTGCTCAGAGTGCCAAACAGGTATTTAAGAAAATTCTCACAGGCTAGGCAAATTATAGTAAATATTAAGATTGCCAGAAACAAAAATATGAAAGTTTCTAGAAAGAATGACTGCCTACAAAGGAACAAGAACAAGATGAACATATCTGACTTTTCAAAACCAACACTAGAAACGAGAAGATACTGGAGACAGTTTTAAAGTGAGAAGGAAAAAAAACCCAAAACTTTCAACACAGAGATAAAATAACATTATAAGGATAAAATAAATTTAGCTGCAGGCATACTAAAACTCAGAAGGCTTACCAAACCGAGACCCTCTTTTTTTTTTTTTTTTAAGATTTTATTTATTTATTTGACAGAGAAAGACCCCGCGAGAGGGAACACAAGCAGTGGGAGTGGGAGAGGGAGAAGCAGGCTTCCTGCAGAGCAGGGAGCCTGATGCGGGGCTCGATCCCAGCACCCTGGGATCATGACCTGAGCCGAAGGCAGATGCTTAACGACTGAGCCACACAGGTGCCCCTAAAACCGAGACCCTCTTTGAGGAACTCCAGCAAGGACAAAAATAAATCCAAGAGAATTCTATGAATATCTCAAATATGGTAAAGTAATAGTTAATATAATGTTGTGTTTTAAAGCAAGCAATGGAGAAAAAAAAAGCAGCAAAGTATATCCCCAAACAATCCAAAATCAAAACTTTGGGGAATACGAATATAAAGAGAACTGGAAGAAGAGTTAGGGATTTAAGTGAAAAATGCACTGTGTGCAGGCACTGGTTACTTGCCTTGTTCAGAATGGTATTAATATTGATAAACTTAAGACATGGAAGAAAAATATGACTATTAATGAGTCAGATATAACCACCATAAAATTATAGATTCTAGGATACACCTTAAGTAGTTATAGTTATTCAATATAAATGTCCAGCTTTGAGTATTTGTCAGTGTGTTAAACTCAAGGAGTACAAACACAAAGAAATAATTAAGGGCAGATATCAACAAAATAGAGAACAAAAACCAGTATCAACAGACCCCAAAACTGATTCTTAGGTAAATCATTTAATCTTTTCAACAACCTTCTGAAATAGGGACTATCAATTCACCCATTTTCCATTTGAGGAAACAGAGGCAGAGAGTAGTTATGTAACCTAACAAAGGTCACACAGCTGGGGAAGTGACAGAACTGATACGTGTGGCAGAATGACTCTGGAGCCTGAACTCATAACCACTGTTTTGTGGAAAGAGTACCCACAGAAGACTGACGAACAGAGATAAGCAAAAAACCGAAATACTAAATGAAAAAGAAGACAGAC